ATCTCTTCTCTGTATACCTGTTGCCAGAGTACTACAATTCTGTATCACCAAATGCTCAAGTTTTAAAACAGCCACCTTGCTCATATGGGTAACAGCATTACAAGGAAGTAGTGGGATCATCCTAGCATTAAAAAAATCACATTTTTCCTGCCTAGTGATACATTTATTGCCCTTTAAAATCTCTATATTGGACAATAATTCTCTTTTTTTCTTTTTCTTTTTTTAATAATGTAATTGGATCATTGCAGGTTCATAGCAATGAGAGTCCTCAGTTCTACGTGTCCTAGAATGTCAGTGCTTCAGACATGTACGTTCTTTGTGGGATCTGTGGCTTAGATGTCTGCCTGAGCTATCCTCCTTTGCTCTGCTTACACAGAGACTGGAGCATGTTAACGACCCACGTGTGACTGAAGTTCTTGAGAGGCATTACACATAGCCTGCACTTACCTCCTGGCTGCTGCTGTTAAAATGTCAGCAGTGCCGCAGCTACTAGTTTATAGCAACCCTGAGGCACGCCTGTGCTTTCTGTCCTCACATCAAGGACTGCAGTTACAATGCAGTTGACCCGAGCTCTTGGAAGTACATTGTAAACATCAACCTGAGTGCTGAGTTGTGAAACCTCCTAAAGGTTCATTCTTCAAAAGATGTTACAAGCATTTATTGTGTGCACCTAGTTTTTTGGCTAAAATTAACATGGTTCCTCACTTGAGAGTTATCCACGATGTAACAATGTCACCATATAATAGGGGTAAAGCTGAAGGTAAGAATGTAAGAGCATGTAACTCCTTACAATTTAAAAATTAATCTGGAGCCTTGGAGGGGTGAGGGCACTTCTGTTTTCCAAGACGTACAAACTCCTGATATAACCTGCAGGGTTTGTCAGGGCATTTTCAAAGTGCTGCTTAAATTCATCTGGGTAACTTCTCTCAGACTTCTAAACTCACTGGTTTTTATGGCCACTGAAGTAGATCTTCTGCAGCACTGCTTTTTGTGAGTGAAGGAGCAAGGTATTTCATGATCATGAAAAGAGAGAATGGAAAGTAAAATTTTCAATTTTTCCTTTTTATGAATTTGTTCAGTCAACAGTAAACTATCCTCCTATAGCTCGGAGCAATTTGCAGAGCTACCCCACAAAAAAAAACACAACCCAAACAACCCCCAAAACAGGAAAAAAAAAAGGTCTGATTGCTGAAAATAATTTTCAAAAGAAGCAGAAGAGCTGGCCAAGGCAACAGGCACCACCTTTCCTGTTCTGCATCTCACTGTGGAGATTTGTTCTTTATTTCAGGGGTTCATTTTCCTACCAGCTCCCTGGAGTACCCTACTGCTCTGGATGAACCTGCAGGAATACCTTTCTTTTTCTACAGGTCATACAGGATGGTGATCCACTTGGTTGTGATGATCCACATGGGCCACAGTGACAGCTATATTTTCTTGAGGTTTGATACTTTATTGGCGTACTTTGCTTTTAAAATAGTTTCTTATTACTTCTAGCTGAAAAAAAACCAAACTAACAAAACACAGCAAGAACAGCAGCTTGACAGTTTTTATTAATCCAGCGCTAATTACAGACCAGAAGTTACTGATTTGAAAAGTCAAATGTGAACTTTCTAACTTTATACTTAAAATCTCGTCCTCGTCCCCTTTCCGCTAACGGTTCTACTTGCATCTTTAGTTTGGCCACAAGATGGCAATAACTGGCAGACAAAATGCTGAAACAGCCAGACAGCGATGTGAAACTGTCTCCCTTCCTAAGCTTTTCCCTGCGCTCTCCCCCCGTCCTCTTTTGTTTCAATATTAAATTGCATTTCTTTCGGAATTACTAGGCAACCCACCCCCAGATGTGTAATATAAAGGTGATGTGCTTGCAGTGAGACTTTAAGGAGCTGCTCAGCAAAGCACCATCATGTGATACTGGGATAAGGTGGAGTTCAGCTTTAAGGGGGAGTCTCCAATCTTCCTCACCAATCTTTAGGATCTCTGCTGGAGGAATACCAGAGGATCCTTCCCCTTTCCTTACTCCTTCTTCTCCATCCAGCCTCCTGAGCCAGCCCTTGAGCAGATCAAAGACTGGCAGAGCAGTTGCAAGGTGAGTTCCTCCTGCGGTTGCTTTCCCGTTACTGTGGGGGGTTGTATGCCAGTTAGGCTGGTGTTTGCTTGCACCCTTAGGTGCAGATGACAAAATCCCAGCGAGGGGTAGGGTTCCGATTAGACTTGCGAGTGGCTGGGTGAACTATCCTCCAGGGCTGGCAGCTTTTTGTGCTTCCTTTTGAAGAGCTCCTGTAGTTTCACAGGGCATTTCCAGTCACCTCACAGCACATTATTTCACCCTTTCTGTTCGTTGATGCTAAACTTTTGACCAAAATCCTCCTGAGAGTCAGAAGGGTATGTGTGGTGGGGTGTACAGTCACCCAGAGGGGTCTGCAGAGCTGTGGGCTCTCCCACCTCATGCCAGCATCGGGGCTGGGGGGTGATGTCCCTCCTGTCCTGAGAGCTGGTGGAGTAGGGCACAGGAACAGTGAAGCTGTCCAGGAGATGCAACTTCATCCCCTCCTGATGTCTGGTCTGTTTTGGAGAGGTGTGCAGGGAGAAAGGACTCTTTGTCACTTGCCAGAAGGGCTGTGTTTCCAAGCTGGTTCCTAGATGTGCTCTTAGGTTGTATCTGTGCTATGGGGAGAGGCAAGGGAAGAAGGAGCAGTGGCATTTTCTGGGTTTGAGTTTGAAATTTAATAAATAAGCAAGAGCAGAGCTTGGCCAAGGGAAAATTAAAAAAAAAAAAAAAAGAGCCCAAAACCTTGGCCACCTTATTGTGAGGTGCAGTTTGGTCCCAGCTGGTGAGAAAACCTTCCCAGTTCTCTCCTAGCAGGACTTGGCTCCTTACCCACTCTGCTTCTGCCCACCAGGTCCCAGGGCTGGACTGTCCACCTCATGCTGTATGAGTGACAGTGGAGATCCTGATTAAATCCAGACGTTGGTTTTTGGGCTGGGGTAAAGTTTTACTGTTGGAATTGAGGAATCCTAGCTCCCTGCATCGCCTACACACTTGCCCTTTGTGTAAACCACCTACTTCTGCCTCTGGCTGAAGCGATGCTTCAAGAGGCTCTGGGGATGGGAGGTTCTTTATTGAACCATAAAACACTTTGTGGACTAGGGAGACCCAATAAATTTAGTTAGCAGAGACAGCAAGTCTGAGAGAGAATTCTCAGGTGCATGCCTAGCTAACTTGAAAATCAGAGTAGCCAAACCTCAGACAAAGATGCTTTTTTTCTGAAATCACTGATGTTACCTTTGACAGTAAAACATCACTCAGAGGCAAGCGACATTGCCTGCCACGGTTTCATGCAGCCATGTGGCAATTATAAATAATCGGCAGAGCCAGCTGAGGCGAGCTCATGACGCCAGTGAGAAGACGTGGTGCTGGCATGGTCATCCTTTGGATGACCCTCAGGAGGAGCTGGTGCTGCAAGACCATCCATTGCATGCTGGCTCTCCCCCAGTCTGGAGGAAGCCCCAGCTCTGGTCCCTGGCACATGGCCGGTTAAAAGGGTGTCTGCCACCAGTAACAGACAAAGGCAATTCTTCTCCAGAGGCTTAGATGGCACTGAGGTTTATATCAAGTATCATTTAAGAGCAAAAGCTTGCCTTTTCAGGATAATTTTTAATGAAGTACATTTTAGTGGGCAATGTTTTTACAGCTTTTGTGATAAGTGCCATATGGAGCTGGGTTTGAAACCCACTTCTGTGAATTTTAAGTGGCATTACTTTCATTACCATAACCTAAGGTTAAGTTAAATTTAGCTCAGGGGAGAGTGGGCAGAGGGAAAGTTCCAGATTCAGTGTGCCTGCTGCTAACGGTGAGTTGGAGTAAAGGTGTGCCAGGTTATTTGATTTCTTTTTTCTTTTTTTCTTTTTTTTTTTTCATCCTGAATGCATATGCCTGAGTTTTTCTGATTTTAAAATCCAAGGCCTTGCAAAGGGGTGGTTGTTTAGGCATGCCTATTTGTGTTGCATGGCTAAAGAAATTTTATGTGGTGTTTAATTTTTGCTGTTTTTTGTGTTTCGGCTTGTTTTGTTCTTTCTTTGCTGCATAGCCCTGCTAACTGAGATTAAGGTGTTCAGAGTTCCTAATTTGCCTTGACTCAGTGCCAGTGCTGCTGTGGGCACTCAGCCGCTCAACATCAAGTGTACGTATTATGTAAAAAAGAATGCAGCAATTTTTTAGAGTAATTTTTCCGCCTCTTACGTTAGTCAGATGGGGACTGACTAATGACCAACCCCATGTGATGGCTGGATATAATTCCACAGAGAGCAGCTTGAGAAAGGAGACCTTTGCAGATTACACTTGTGAAAAGGAGATGTAAAACATCAGGTAAAAGCTAGTACAAGTGGAAGGTGGAAATTGCTTCTCAGTTCGTTATTTCATCTAGCTTGTGTCAGGAAGGGGTCACGTCGTCCTGTCCCCTTGCAGACCCGCATTTTATTCTGGCCTTCTGCCTTTCCTCCCCAGGGCTGCAGCCCCCCTGCCCCACTCCCAACTCAGGCATCCTCCAGATGGGGGTTTCCCAGGCCGCTGGGTTGGGAATTCCTCCCTTCTGCCACTCTCGGGGAGATCAGCACGAAGCGGAGCCCGGCCACCAGGGGAAGGTGAGCCCAGGGCGGCTCTGCTTCCCCTGCAGGTCACTGAAGGTGACAGTCGTAGACTTATTGAATGGCTTGAGTTGGAAGGGACTTTAAATACCATCTAGTTCCAACCCCCCTGCCATAGGCAGGGGCACATCCTGCTAGAACAGATTGCTCAAAGCCCCCTCCAGCCCGGC